GGATTAAACGCAGGCCCGGTCACCTGTGCAGAGGGTGAGCCCCAACACCAGGGGCATCCCATGTGTGCCCGGGGAATGGCGGGATTTTAGACCCCTCTCCTGTGCCAGGACCAGACCTGAGTCCTGCTCCCCCATCCTGCACAGTCCTCAATGCTCTCCCTTAGCCCAAACTCAGGACCCTCAAAGTCACCCACTGTACAGATGACAAAACCTTGTGAGGTGGGAGAAGAGCAAGGGCCCCAGGGCCAAGTCCTCATTGAGCCCTGCCCCCACCTGCAACTTGTGGCTACTGTCACCCACCCCAAAGGCCAGGGTGAGAGCAGAGGTGAAAAGACAGAGGACACACCCAGCAGAGCCTGGTGAAGAGGGAGCCCCGTGAAACAGCGGATAAAGTGAGCTTCATGGGGGGTGGGGTAAGGAGGCCCCAGGGAGGAGCATCTTGTCCAAGGCCACAGAGCGAGAAGGGGTAAATGCAGAACGAAGCCCAGTTCTCTCAGCACGGCAGGCCCTGGCTTCACCCAGCTTGGCTACTTTCCAGCTGTGTGACTGTGGGCAAGTCACTGAACCTCTCTGTGCCTTCATTTCCATAATACGGAGGTTCTCATTCCCACCTCCCAAATTATCATGAGGATTAAATGAGCCAATACAGAATGAGTGCTTAGCGGGCGGGGCTCTTGTGAAAGTTAGTTTGCTGTTCGTGTCATTAAGCCCTCCCCAGATCGTGCCCATAGCCCTTGGGGGAGGAGTGGGCGACAAAGACAGATGGAGACTTCACCCCTCCAGTCCCAGCTGCCTCAGTCTGCTCCAAGCCTCAGCAATCCTACTGGGGCCCCTTCTAGAATGACCCAAAGCAGCAGCGAGGCCTGGGTGGGGAAGGGGGTTCCCAGCTCCGGTGGGAGGGTTTGGAGGGACGCCTGTGGCAGGGCCAGGCTTCTGAGGAGCTCTGTCTCCACCTTGCTCCCCATGGGTGCCCCAGCATTTTCCAGAGCCCAAGCCCAGAACTGCCCTACCCCAGTGCTGCCTGGGGCCCCCAGGGACCCCATGTCCCAGTCCATGAGGTGGGAGGAGCCATCTGTTTTCAAAAGGCCACACGGCTTTTTTCTTTCTTTCTTTCTTTCTTTTTTTTTAAGATTCTATTTATTTATCTAATTGAGAGAGAGAGCACAAGTGGGAGGGAGGGGCAGATGGAGAAGCAGAACCCCACTGAGTAGGGAGCCTGACTTGGGCTCAATCCCAGGACCCCAATATCATAACTGGACCCAAAGGCATACCCATAACTGACTGAGCCACCCAGCTGCCCCTAAAATGCTTTTACCTTCAGCAGAGCTCAACCCCACACCAACCCCCAACACAAGGGAAGAAGAAACAAACTGAATTCCCAGATGGCGGCACCATGTCGCTCCCCATCCCAACTCCGCCGTGAGAATTTTGTAACCCCGAGTAGCAGTCCTGAAGTATTCGTCCCCAACCGACAAGTATGAGAGCCTCGGGTCAGGGCAGGCTCAGCTTGCTCTGTGCCACATGGTGACCACTTTGATGACATATCTCAAAACCTCCTCCTCCAGGAAGCCCTCTCTGACCTCTCCAGGCCTCCTCCTGGAAAAGTCCTGTCTTCCGAAAGCTTGCTACATGCCAGGCTCTGTTCATTCTACCCAAGGAGCTCATGTCCTCATCACAACATCCCTGTGAGTGAGGTTGGCACTGTTTCAGTCCTCATTTCACAGATGGGGAAGCTAAAACAGAGAAATCCCTTACTCAAAGTCGCACACCAGGTGTCTATCCCTGAAGGCCCTGCCACCTTGGGGGCCAAGAGTCAGCAGGCCCCTGTGACGTCACTGTGTCATGGCCTGGCCTCCAACAGCCCCAGGGTCCCCAACTTTTAATTTTTACAGTGAGGACAATCTCACTCTGACAACTCAGCATCCAGAGTCAACCAGTGTAGCTGGAGGACGAGCAGGGAGCTCTAGGGCAGGGGGAACAGTTGGGGTGGGAAGGGGGGCAGGAACGGGGGGTGGGGCTTCCACAGAATCCCTTGCTTAATTTCCCCTCCCCCACCGTCACTGCGTCCCCACGCCCACGCCCCCGCCCCCGCCATCACACTGCCGGCCTGGGCAATGGCAGCCTTAGAACAAGAAACCAGCATTGGCTGAGTGTGGACTCAGCCAACCACGGGGCTGCATGAACCTCTTTCCTTGTCGTTACTCCCTCGGTCTTGCAGAGATGGAAGCAAGGCACAGAGAGGTTAACTAACTTTCACAAGGTCACTCGGCCACAGAGCAGTGAATTCCCATCACTGGGGATAATGAAACACGACTAGATGAAGCCTAAAATCCTTTCCAAGCTTCTACATGAACATGTCTCCAAGCTAGAACTTCTAGAATCCCCACACTCCAAGCCTGTCTGGGTGGTGACAGATGTGGCTCTGAAGGCAGCTATCCCTCAAGAGTCCTGGTCACCTGGTCTCTCAGGAGAGACGACTCCCCAGAGCAGATGCCAGGACACACACACACACACACACACACACACACTCCCTTTAAAGCTGGTGGGCAGAGCAGGGGTCATCTTGTCCCTCCCCTGCCCAGAGCCAGTCACCACCCATCGATGATGTCCTTAGAGGACCCCACCATGGAGGCCAGGAGCCATCCAGGGTGGGGCCCTTCTGGTCTAACCTCGGTCCCTCCTGCTACAGGCATCTCCTTCTTCCTTCAGGGTGGCACGCCTGGCAGCTGGGCCCCACCCTTTACCCTTCTGGCTCCTGGGCCAGGGGAGGTGACACTCCTCCTGGGCAGCCCAACCCTGGGGAATACGTAAGGTGAGGAGAGGGGCTCCCCCTCCCACCTCATCTGGAGTCCCTCCCAGTCATGCCCACCCCCTTGGCCTCCAGGCCCAGACCCAGTGAGGGGGTGTTGCTTTATCTGCTCCTCAGCTGTGGGTCTGAACCACACCCACTCTACTTCGCCCTCGGGTTCAGGGACACCCTGTCTCATTGAGGGCCTCCAGAACAGTCTTCCACCAGCCAGGCACTCCCTTCCTTCCTTACACCACCCTGTGGGGCACGAATTATATTAGCCTTGTTGTAGGAGTGAGGAACAGTGGTTCAGCAAAGGATGGGACTGGCCCAGGGTCATACAGCTCAAGATTCCTGCCGGGTCTCCAAATATCAAGCCTTTTGTCCTATGCCCCCTTTTCATTCATCTACACATCAAACATTTACTTCTGTGAATGAGCACACGTATCATCTCATCTCACTTCCAAGGACGGTGTTACCAGCCCCATCTTACAGAAGAGAAAGTAGAGGCCCAGAGAGATGCGACAGTGTGCCCGAAGTCACAGCATGAGTCAGTGGGGGTGTCAGGATTTGAACCCAAGGCTGGGTTATTTCCAAGATTTTGATTTCAAAACTGGTCTTTCAAAAGCATGGCTGAGAAAGTGACCCAGGCGCTAGGATGGGGTGGGTCCCAGTCCCACCCAGGGACCTCTTCTCAAACCCTTTGGGGGAGGACTGGGGATGAGGCTACCAGCCCACCAGGCACTGTACTCAACTTGGCATTCAATGCTCCCTCCACCCTTCATTCAGCTCCCAGGTGGGGAAGGCTGTTGAGGAGCTTGTCTGTCCAAGAAGCAAATTCTCGGTCCATGCCTGTCCTCCTCCCATTTTACAGGCCAGCCCACCAAGGCCCACGGAAACATGCAGGGACAGGGTCGGCTCCTGGGGGCTGCCTGAGAGACCAGGGTCCTTTTCAGCCTGCGGAATGAGGGACAGGTGCAGCTCCTAGAACGAGCCACAGAGACTGGGCCTAGAAACCCCCACCTCATCCCCAGCCCGGGCTCCAGACTTGGCATCTGTGGGGGAACTCACTTGGGACCTAGGTCCCTCAAGGTGGGGAGCTGGCCCTTCTCTATACCTCCTCCTGCTCCCCCTAACGGAACAGAGACTGAGCTCAACCCCAAAGCTGCGTGGTCATTTAAAGGGACACTGAAAGGGTCACCGCGTACACACATACTCCCCTCGCCCTGCACACACTCTGCCCCCCTCCACGGTACGAGCCCCGTGCACAGGGTCACCCATGCAGCCACGAGCACTTGCACACATGCACATGCACACACACATTCCCATGGGTCCAAGCACACACCCACCGCGGAGGTCTCTCCCACACACACACTCACCCCCCCACAACGGGCACCCACAGCCCCAGCCCATAGCTGCCCACCCTGCCGCTGGCACACACAATAGGTCACTCCCACAGGGTCCACATCCAGGTAAGGCAAGGCGGCAGGCAGCCATGTGCTGGGCTGTTGCTCATCCCTCATCCTTCACCCCTACACAGCTCACAGGTCCCAACGCCCCGCGCGAAGGGGATCAGACACACGGGGTCACTCTCACTCACCCCCTCGGGTCACCTTCACGCAAATCACCCTCCACCCCTCCCCCTCTCCGGGCCCCCACTGTCCTTCCCAAAGCGACCCTCGGAGGAACCAAACGCACACCTCCCCGCCCCGGCAGGGAACCCACCCCAATTCTCTAAAAGTGGCCGCGCTCTGGGCACACCCGCGAAGCCAAAGCCACGTTCGCTCCAAACCCACGACACACCCAGCCCGGACCCCGCGCCTGACGACCCCCCCCCCCACCCGCCGTCAGGCCCGCCCTGCGCCTCTCGACCCGGGGCCGAGGACCCCGCTGGAAAGGGGCGCGGTACTCGGCGCCCCGTGCTCCGGTTCCCGCCGGGCCGCCCGCCGAGGGAGGGGTCCCCAAAGCCCGGAGAAGAGAACCCCGGAGGCGGCCGGCAGCGGAGACGGCGGGGGTGGCCTCCCCCACGGGGTCGGCCTCCCCCACGGGGTCAGCCCCGGGGACGGGGGACGAGGGGCTGGGGGGCTCCCGCAGGGGGAGGGGCGCGGGGGCTGGGGGGCGCGCGGAGGTCGGGGGAGGGGGGTGTGGGGGCGGGCTGGGCGGAGGGGCTCAGGGGGAGGGGGACCCGCGGGAACCCGCGCGCGTCACTCACCCCCGCGGCGCGCCCGGCCAGCAGCAGCAACAGCAGCGGCGGCAGGAGCAGCCCGCGGGCCCCGGGCCCGGCCGCGGCCCCGTTCCCGGCGCCTGCCCCGTGGGCGGCCCCGGCGCGGTGCGGTGGCCCCGGCTTCATGGCGGCGGCGGCGGCGGCGGGCGCCTTTGTTCCCGAGGCGCGGCGCGCGGGGCGGCTGCTCGGCGGCGGCGCGGCCCGGAGGCTGGACCGACGCGCTCCCGGCTCGGGGCTCCCGGCTCGGCGGCCCGGCTCCGCCTCGCAGCTCCGCGCCCACAGCAGCCGCGCCCGCAGGAAGCGTGCGCCGCCGCCGCCGCCGCCGCCGCCACCGCCACCGCCGCCGCCGCCGGGCCGCCCCCAGCGCGGGCGGAGCGGGAGGAGGGGCGGGGGGCGGGGCGGGCCGGAGCGCGTCCCCTGCCGCCCCGCCCCCCC